ACCTTTATCAAATATTTGACCTTCTTGGCAGAGGCAGATTGGAGTTTTCCAGTGCCAAATGTTTGAACACACGGTCAACTCTTTCCTGAACCTATTTTAAAAATATTGGATTTCTGTTCCATTGGAGTGCATTGTTCTAAGTGATGGATCCTGCCACCCTGAGAGGAGTTCAGAATCCGACGGCGAATGCTAGGGCTGACAGCAAAGGACCGCGGGCTCATAATGCTAGATCAAGCTGGTGCACACATGGGCAGGCTATATGAACGAATTCAACACAACTGGTCGGTTCAACACAACATTGTCACTTGGCCTCTGCATTTAGTAGGCGAGACACACACTTAGAACAGTTTTGGGGTTATGTTTTGTGTTTTTTGTTAGTCCTTGTATGTACTGTAAATATATATATATATATATATTATATACATAATTTTGCATATGGGTGGTTTATCAATTTTGGGACGACATTGCCTTTCCCTTAAAAAGACACAGCCACATGTTTTGTCATTTCTGGTGTTACTCTCACATCATGAGTCAGGAAGTGATGACAGGGCATAGCGAAGTCCCTGTGCCTGGGGGGCTTCGGAGCAGCGGGATCCCCAAATGACGGATTCCATCAAGTGCTGCACAGCCTTACCAAGTCCTACACCCGTGTTTCCATTGGCTGGGGCTGTGAGCCACGGCTCAGGAAGCGTCTGGATGAGTTGCAGTTTGGGGTTCAGGGAGCACCAAGCACCAAGCTCCTTGGCAACTCGTTGGGGGTACAACTCGTTAGGGGTACATCAAATTCCTGATTTGGGCATATTGGGATTCACCACCATGTATATAGTAATCGGTAGCAATGGTGCTGAGGTGCGGCATAGACACTTCTATCAAAGCAGACGCGTGGGCAATCCAGCAGCTCTCTGGTGAACGGCAATTTGCATGCAATGCGTGTATCTAAGTGATTATTTTTCCTGTTCTCCTGCCTCACGCGTATGGATCTCAAGTTCACAAGTGGCATGCGCATGTCTTTTTAATGAACATGTATGTGTGTGTATCCATACAAATATAAATAAGTATATATATATATATGTTTTTAATATATAGACAAAGAGTTCACATTAGGCAAAGGCAAATGTTCTAAGTCCACTACTCTGAGGCACAACCGCCTGATCTGGCTCGCATGGGTGCAGCGCGGATATTGCACGCTGCAAGACATTGCTGACTGGCGATATGAGGGTCCCTTGTAGTTTAAACTAATGCATGTGTTTGTGTCCAGTACCAAGCTCCACCTCGGTAGGAAGCATCCTGTGGGACACAAAATGAGTACAAACACCTGCTTGCCTGTTCTCATATTCACCAAGAATAGATTTTCATCTTAGGTGAATTACACGTCGTGGAGGATATGATTCAGAGAACCAGGAACAGCATGCAAGATGTTTTGGAGCTAATGGACATTCCTGATGTTGATGGCGTTGAGGATGAAAGCATTCAGCACATGCGGTTGTGCGAGTTGGTTCCGAGGCTGCAATCAAGCGTAGCACATTGTTAGACACACACTTAGAACATTTTCTTGGAAAGCGCAAACCAACTTTCCATACAACACTTTTTATGGGGACATGAAGAAAGCACCTGTTATATGGTTCAATAGATTTTAAACCATACATAGTTATTTCAAGCTCATTGTGAGACAATTTCCAAGGAGGGTGAGCAGAGCCACATGTGGTGCATCCAAGATGAAGACTGCCGGCGCATCTTGCCCCCTTGGATGAGCCAAATCCTTGAGATTCAAGTGTGCCAATATGTGAGTGAGTATGAGAAGTGGTCTACAAAGATCAACAAACGAGCAGCGGAGGGAAAACCCCTCACAAAAACCCAAGCAGATTTGTACAACAGGTGGCAAGCTGACTGCGAGAGAAAACTTATCTTCTGCAAGCAGCGCAAGAAACTCATCAGTGATGCCAAGGAAATCTCTCCGAGCTGCATCGCTGTAAAGCTTCATCTAAGCGATGAACCAGAGATGCTGCAGCTTTCAACTGGTGGGAGTGAGCAAAAATACCGGTTGATGTTGTTGCGTGGTGACAAGCCAGAAGCGGAGATTGGAGCTGTGCCCGATGCTTTGGATGCACCTGTTCCTGCTGATATGATCCCTGTGCCGGGAGAGGATTCAGTGAGTGAGCAGGAAGAAGAAGTCTTGGATGGTGCAATTGACAACGGTGAACCTGCTGCAAACGATGAAGGAATGGTTTCTGAAGCGGAAGGTGATACTTTGGAGATTTTGGCTGATACAGATGATGACCTGGACCTCCTTGATATTACAGTCGGTGCCGGTGGGGATACCAAATCTGTGGCAAAAGTCAAGTCCTTCCATCACAGAGATGCTTGGCAGAAGCTCGAAAAGCTTGGCCTCGTTGCCATACCGACCCACGTGAATGGATGCAGCATCGGATTCCACCGGACTTCCAACCAGTGGCAGGGGTACTACCCCAACTGCCACGAGGGGCTTTCAGCCCGTTTCGGTGGAACGACAAAGCGCTCTGAGTGTGAGTCGATAATCAAGGTAGTTCGAGGGATCCTGGTCGCTCACACACTGAAATATCCAAAGGACAAAATGTGGAAGCTTCAGTTGAGCAAGGTCCAGGCCGCAGAAGCAACCCAAACCTTTTGATTTTGTTGAACCGTTCTAAGTGCATGTGTTTGCAAGGAGTTCCAATCATCAGTAAATTAACAACGACACCAATACCAACAACAGGTCAACTGGACTGGCTTGCTTCTGGATTGCATGCTGAAATAAATTCATGAGATCTGCTGATGCACACAGGCATCGCTGTTGCCCGGTGATGTCTTTCAAGAAGCCATGTATATGGAAAGGTTCTAAGTGTTGAGTCAACAACCAAGGAAGCTTTTGGACAGTGACACTATCTGCCATTTATTGTGTAATTTTGTCAGGCAAACAAACACAAGAATGGGAATGTGTAGATGCTTTGGGTGAACTGTGGACGGAAAACATGCTGGATGCCAGGTACAGGTGCAAGGCAGTTCAGGGTGGCCATAGCAAGTGATTGAGTTCTTTTCTGACTCAGTTGCAAGTGACTAGGAAAAAGCTGTTGGTGTGCTTTGTGATGATCTTCTTCATAAAAGCAATGGCCACCTTTCCATCCAACCACACCACTTGCGCCACACGCTCGTGCACAATGGTTCCCCCACGGCGGCCCAGGTTTCTTTGGGTGAATGAATGGTGATGTTTTTCTTATGGGTTGTTCTGATTGTGCTATTCAATGTTCTAAGTGTTGGTCCCAGCAACCAAATTGAGGGCATTTTGGCGGCTAGCAGTAGTGAATCCAAGTTCTTGATGCACAGGGGCCACCAAGGTATCTTTAGGTGCAACACTCAGTGGTATTGTGAATGCCCCCACAGAATAGATCCATGTATATAATTGTGTAACTATATGTTCTATATGTTCTAAGTGTTGCGGCAACGAGCAAGGAGTGGCTTCTTGTCAACACTAGCTGTGTGGAGTTTGTGGACATGCAACTGTACAACAAATACATATATATATATATATACGTAGATAAACCGCTCTGTGTATATATTTATATAACATAAATAGTGGGAAAAAGCGTGGACTGGAAGCTGGGTGCTGTGTACAAGAGCCAGGCGTTCTGTGGTGGCCATGGCCAGTGATATGAGTTTCCTTTCAGAAGGCTGTTGCATTTTTAGGTGCAACTTGTTTTTCCGTGAGAGCAATGGCCACCTTCCGTCCTACCTCACTATATATTTGCTTGGGGAGCTATACGCTCTTGGACCATTTGTCCAGCAGCAGCCCTGTGTCCCTGCTTCTGTGCATGAATTATCATTGCTTTGGTACGTGTTGCTTTTGATGCTCTACCCAATGTTCTAAGTGTTTGGCCAAGCAACCAGATTGAGGGCATGCTGGGCGGCTAGCAGTTATGGGCAATCACAGCAAACGCTTCTTTCTCTCTGTGCTATATAGAATAGGTTGCTACCTGGCATAGGTTGAGTTGTCACATGGAAATGATGAGCGGTTCATTGCTGGAGGAGAACCTTATAGGTGGATGTTCTAAGTGTGGGACCGAGGAAGTGACTGAAACCCTCCATGACCAGCACCTTCTTCAAAATGTTTTGCTCAATTCTTCCTACTGCAAAGATTGCCGTGTTCGATTCCCTGGATGTGTACACAAGTGACATGTCCATGCCTGAAATCCCAGGCTCTGTAAAATGTATACCCTCTGTGTTGAACTTTCAGCTGCAAATATGCGCACACTGTGTGTAAATAATTGTAAATATAATGTTCTTTTGATGGTCAAAAAAGTTGGACACAAAACTTGTGAGAGCCTGGGTTTAAGGTACGCATGCCCGACTCAGACAAAGTTTCAGCAGTATGCGCAAAAATGCTTGCTGTGTGCTCAAGATGTGCAGCCTCATTAATGCTTGCTTGATGTTCATTTATCACCGACCTTCACAAATAGAATCAGGCTTTTGTATGCTCACCCCTAACCAGAAATCTATGCAAACATACAAAGTGACGGACACCCACTGTATGAATAATTATGAAATAGTCTAACCATTGTTCTAAGTGAGCATTTTTGTTCTAAGTCTCAATGTTCTAAGTGTGGTGTTCCTGTTTTAGTCTAAGTGTAGGTTTGAAATTTTTGGAAAAATATATGTTCTAAGTGGGTGTCCGTCACTATAGAGAGAGAGAGAGACACTGAGACACTGGTACACACACACACACACGTAGAACAGGAGACTCATGTAGAACATAGAAATCATTTGAAACTTGTAGAATCTCCGTTTCCACAACTAGAGCAGGCACATTGCCGTAGATTGGAGAATCTTCGACCACTGGACCACCCAATCGGACACTGTTCGGTCGTGCCTTGTGTTTTCACCGGTGGTGCTGCAGATCTGGAGAAGAGTTCCATCCAGAACGGATCTGTTTGAGTGCTTCACCCATCAGTCGCATGTGTTGTGTGGCATTCCTTCGATCGATGCTGCAGGAAGGGAGACAAATCTGCGAAGGCCTTCATCATGTCCCAGGAAGCCCTGAATCAAGCCCCAACTGTGAGCCGCAGGGTGGACCAGGGTCATTTGAGTCATCTTGTCATGATTTTCTAATTTAAAGAATGCTTTGCAATGTGAAGAACTTGACAAGAACCTGTAGCAAAAGGGCTTGGTTACGTGTGATTGCTGGGTTTTCCAAGCCTTGGCATCCCAATTCAAGAAATGCCGCGAGCAGTGGGGGGCAATTGCCTGTTTGGAAGGACCAGAAGCGGTGGAATGAACACACCCAGAAGATCCTGGATGCGATCCAGGCGACGGGTGTCTCCGAGGTGTCCATGTGGACGAGGTCGTGGGTTCTGGCCATGGTCCTGGTCGGTGTGTGTGATCTGCGGTTTTGCCCACCTGGTGCTTTGAGGATCAGCTTGGACAGCCCGTCAGTTTTGGGCGGTTTTTCGATGCTCACGGTTTTTCATTAGAGGTGACCCACTCTGCAGATGGGCACTTTTGCGTTGCCCCTTTGAGCACATCTTAGCACTGGCAGGAACAGGACCGGCAAAAAGATACTGATGTAAAAGAGCGGCAGGCGCAGATGGAGTCTGAGCGAACGGTGAAGCGAAATGAATTGGGCGATCATGGGGTGTATTGGAATAGGGAGGCCCTCCAACCACTACGGCACCGTAGGCTTTATATAGTCGATCTTCCTTGTTTCGTTGTCTTTTGGAGTTTGGAAGTCTTCCGGGCGGTCTCCCTATCTCAATACACACACAGAGATTCATTGCTTGAGGAAACATCAAATCACACTCCAGACGAGCCTGGAAGCAGCAGCGTGAAAGCTGCCATGAAGGGGTTTTGCTTGGGGTCTCTTTATTGGATTCCATTCCATGTTTCTTTAAATAAATCAGTTGTTTGTTTCGAGATGTTCCTTCGTACTGTACGGTTGTGTTTCTCAGGACGACACACACACACAGATGTTTTCCACAGCAACTGTATCCTCCACTACCGCTCATGCCCCCTTTTCTCGGTGGCTGGGCTGTGCACGAAGACGCACACATACAAGTGGTTGATGAAAGAAGCAATGCCACATCCCTAAGAACACGTGTGATTTACATTGATTCACACCAGGGACCAAACAATCTCAGTATTTTCTTGGCTTCGTCTTGCATCGCGTCCCTCCACTTCCGTTTGGTAGGTCCCTTTCCTCCACCCCGCGGTCTCCCATGCCTTCGCCTTCCGTGGCAGGTGGCGATCCTCTTCTCCGAGCTGCCGAGCTTTTGGCCGCTGCTGCCCTCCTCGGTGGCCCCGGACAGCTTGGAAGGCGAGCTGCACCGTGAGGAGCCGCACACGGGCCTTTATGGGGAGGGGTCTAGGGGTGGTCTAGTCGGTGAGGTGGCAAAGGTGGGCGCATGTGGACATTTGGTGTGTGGTAGTAGGTAGGATGTAGTAGGTAGGGGGTGATAGGTAGGGTGCTGCGGGGGGTCGTAATTCATCGAGGAGGGCTTGATTTATAGGTCTCCCATGTCAGAGCTTCCAGGAGGACCCACAGATGCGGCCGGCGGCTGTGCGGCAGAACCGGCTGCTGCTGGAGCCGCAGACCCTGTGGCGCTTCCGGCGGAATGAAGTTTTGGTTCTGGTGCAGGCTTTGGTACCGGTTACGGTTGGAGAGTTCGGACGACCGGACTTGCTCGTTCCGGCCGGAAGTTCTGACTCCATTTTTGGTGACTCCTTTTTTTGAGAGATCGGGATGAGTCATTCTGGACCCAGGAAATGCTGCAGGCCTCGGCCAATCGTCTCGATTTTTGCTGCCTTGGTAAACTGGCCATCGGGATGTGGTCGAACTCTTTTGTGTCCTGACTCGGGACTCCTGAGGGTGTCCAATGCGAGAAACACAATGATAATCTTTCCATTGACTCATTGTACTCCACCTGGTAGTCATCATCCACCGCCACCATAGGGGTCAATTGAGTCACAACACTCTCAGGGCTTCCAATGGTTTCTGCCTGTCCATTCGGCCTGTCCATCGAGCACGTGCTCGCTTCCCTGGCAGCGGAAGGTGTTGAAGTCCTGGACCTTGGCGTCTTGGCCCAAAGGCGGTGCTGAGATGGGCATGGACCGGGCCAGCTTCTGCAGGCGATACGTAAGCGCGTTGGTTCTTTCGCGACCGCGATGAGAGGTTTTTCGACATTTGGGTTGAAGAGGTGTAAGAGGCAGAAGAGGCAAGAAAAAAGAGGAGTCAGACTCCTCGAAGTAGCAATGGAGAAGTAGATTTAGAGGTGAAAGCCCAAAGTGCTAGGAGCTGATGGTAAAATTTGTCTTTGTGAGCTTGTCTATATATGTTGCAGCATCCCTGCAACAATGGCTGAAGTGGCTGAAGTTTGAAGTGTCATTTGGAGCCTTTTGTAAGGGTTTCCTCATTCTATCATTCTCGTTCATCTCCATATGGCAACTGGGGCAGAGGTGTGGACAACGGTACTTCTGGAGAATTTCCGAGATACCATTGGTTCCCCCTTCGACAGAGATACCTCCTTCATCTTCCACTCCTCGGTTTTTGCCGCGACCCAGTGCCTTGGGGTGGACGTGCTTGCGCAGGTTTATCTTAGATGTGGGCCTGGCTGATCAGCGGAAGGTCCCCTTCTTCTGGGCGGTGCATCTCTTCGACAGCTGCGCCAAGTGGATGAGATACTGCGCTGTGGACGACCCCATGCCAGAGACTGCACCGCTTCTGCAAGTGCCTTAGACGCAACATGGCAACACGGTCACCCGCAGCACAGTGCCTTGTAGCCCGAGCTTCAACAACTTCTTGTACCAGTATATGTTGACTGCCACTGTTTCACTTGACCGTGCCCGTGTCGTACGTTGTGGCTTTGAAACGCGATCAGTGACCACAGAGTTTGCAACCTTTCTTGACAGATTTTTGACAGACTCGTTTTTTTAATGTCTTTTAGCTCGTGTTGTGTTCTTAAGGCACCAATTCAACGGGGCTTGTGGGTGACTTACCTGTGACGACGGGCGGTGTTCTCAGGTTTTCTTTCAGACCCTGCCACGCGCAAATCCGGCAAAACTAATCGCAGAATGGTCACCAGCTCCTGTAGATCCCGAGCCCATGGTAGTTAATGGTAGTTATACAATGTTATACACAGGCCCCGCTTGCACGGCTCTTCCCGTCGGGATCTGCCCGGCTGGACCATCTGCGTTCGTCGTGCGCTGGACCGTCGTGCGCAGTTCGTGGCTCCGAGGTGGTGACCTGGTGGGAACTCTTTCCGAGCCTCAGCGGTGACTGACCGGGGATGTCCTGCCGAGTCCTCCCGGGGATGTCCGGCGGGGAGGCTTTCAAGGATTGGAGAGGGTTGGTGCATTTTTGGCGTTTTTGTCCAGGTGCAGTTCAGTTAAAAAGGAAGATGTCCTCGGACTCTGCGAGAGATTGCAAGAGGCCTCCTTTGGTAGAGTTTTTTGGGCAAGGATCCTTAAGATTCACATTTGGATATGTGTTTTCTCATGCTTTCTCCTCCCTCTCACTGACACGCATCCTCATGAATGGTAAAACACGGGTGAGCATCCCCGAGACCAAAAGGGGTAGTTCGCCCCGAAAGACAAGCCGTCTCAGTAGTGATTTGGTCCCAACGTTTGTAACGGCTGCTAGCCAACGACGGCCAGAAGAGCCGAATCGGAGAGGGATGGGGTGGGGGTGGGTTTTCAGCATGGTAAACCTATGACCCGAAGAGAAGGCCTTTAGGTCTCAGAAGGTGACGAGTGGTGACGAGTGTGACACATCGTGGCCGCGACCTCAAGCTTGCGATCACAGGGAATGGCTCTTTCAACGATCAGTGATCAATCTGCTAGTCACCACCTGCGACATAGTTCCCTCAAACAAACTGTTGTACCATTTGTGCGAGACCTCTGTTGGTTGCTGCTGTGCAGGTTCTTCGTCCTCAGCAGTGACCCTGTGACATAAGCGTGTTGGGTTCCAGTCTTGCTGACCATCGGTTCCACGTGTGCATCGCTGCCTTGCACTCCCCGTAGTCCTTTCGGGCATTGCCCCCGACTCGTCGACGGAGGATCGTGGACGCCCTGGCACAGCAGCACTTCAGGACGTGCGAAGCGAGCGAGCACGGCGAGTGCTCTGTGAAGTGAGATGGTTCGGGTGGTTCGTGGTGGTTCGGGTGGTGAAGGGGTGAGCCCGAACCCGTGTTGGGCGATTGTTTGCAGGTCAGACCGCTACCCAGGGATCCCTCTGTCATTCTGAGCTGTCAATGGTGAAGTCATTCTGAGTCATTCTGAGTCATTTTCCTGGTGAAGACATCAACGGCCAGAAAACCACCCAGAAGAAGTGGTTCCCATCAACTTCGCTCGCAATTGGTCGGTGAGCATCCCAACTGCGAGGGTCACGCTCCTTTCCCGCGGTGTTTGGACCGGTTTTCTCCGAACCAGTTAGAGTCGGTAGTTAAGTGTCTTGCCACAAGACACTTCAAGAAACACAAAGTCTCTGGCAGTTCCTCTTGAGAAGAACCTTCATCACCCCCCCCGCCTACATGACGCATCCGCAAGTTCGAGACCATCCTGTCACTTCGACTCAGAGCCCCCCCCTGTCCCGAAGCAACGCCCACGGAGATGCCGTGAGTTCCCATGAACCGAGGAGTGACTCAACATGATGTGGACCGGTTCTTCCTCTTACTCCACCAAAACATCAATCAGTTTGCAAGCTTGTAGCCCTTGTGGCCATCATACTTCGAAGATAGGAGTTCCCAACAACTGCCTGTCTCCATCGGATTTGTTTGAAACAGATCCATAGCGGCTGCACAGGACCACTGCGTCCAATCTCCGCTTGAAATTCATTGAGCAAGTGGCGCCTTGGCCGTCCAAGTGGCGCCTCGCCAGGGGACCCTGCAGGTCTTGTGTTTGTCAGCTTGTGCTTCTATGAGTTCCTGCAACAAACACCGGGTTGTGACCCCACACCCATCCACACCCAAACATGGTACGGATAGACCATCCTATATTCGTGGGACCCACACATGGTTTTTTTCGCGTAAAAGGACTCGACTTGCCAGCGAGGTCGTTTTCACGAAAGAGCAAGCTCAGTTCAACCACCAAGAATCAACAGCAGCCAATGTTTCAGAGGCATTTCTTTTGTCTTTATATAGAGCCCCCAAATAGATAGAAAAGTAGATTTCCATTTTTTGGAGACCACTATAGGCAGTGGTCGCCCAACGCGTCGCTTCGACCAACCGCGGAGTGCCCAGCTTTCACCCAGGCGGAGATCGCGCGCTTCTTCGTGCCAAGCTTCGCCCAGAAGGTGATCAACATCGGCCGGGAGTATTTAGCACCCTGTCGTGTGGGGAGTGTGTACTGCAATCGGCTGGTTGGAATGATCCTTTTTGGGGTGCCAAGCCTGGTTTTGGTTGCTTTGGCCTTGGTTGCCATGAGGAAGGCCGGCAAGAGGTCGTCAAACTCAGCTGGCTTGCATGCTTCAGCACAGTTGGGTGAAGACTCAGCTGGCTCAGTTGAGTGAAGACTCGCCGGGAGCTCCGTGTCTTTCAATTCGCTGGGATCTCCGTGTTTCTCAGGAATTGATGCTCCAAGGCGCGACGGGTTCGTGGTTCGTGCGGGGTTTTCGCTTCATGCATGGGACAGGGGGTCACTTGGATGAAGCTTTGGAGGCTCAGAGAGTGGTGCGCTGTGGAGGCCCCATTTTTTGGTTAAGCTGATATTCATTGACCTTTTCAAAACACCATAAACATGGGGCCTCCACAACGTACTTTTCTGTTGTTTCAAGTCTTGAAACTTTGTAGCTTTGGGATTTGGAAGCTTCGTTGTCGAACTTGAATCTGTATTTCTGTAATGCCTGGCTGCCTAAGCCAACTCCGGTAAATGCACGGAACGTAAAGAGAACTATGGAGGGTTCTTTGCCAATCCCTTAGTGAGGCTTGCATCTCAGAATTAAACTGAACCTTGACTCGGACACATAGATCCAGCTGCTGCTTTGCAAGGAAGAAAAGACCCAGAGCGAATCAAAAAGAAAGAAACGAGTGACGTGACCACTCCCAGTAGCGACCGTTGGCTGCGTCGCTCACATCCACAGATAGGTCTTCTCTACATGTTTGGCTGAGTACCAACAGAAGAATCCCCCCTCTTCCTCGCGCGACGAGGCGTGGGAGTGGAAGAGGAGGAGAAGGCCCCAGAGGTCTGGAGATGGTTCCTTTGTTACTAGTAGCTTCTTGTTACTAGTAGCAAGAATGCTCCTAGTAGCGATGCCAGGAGTCCCTAGTAGCGTCCTTGCTCCCAGTAAGGCCAGGAGCCTCGTTCGTAGCTTCTTGTTCCTAGTAGCTTCTTGTTACTACTAGTAAGGCACCTGTTACT